TGGGTATGTTTCTATATTTTCTTATATTAAGATGATCAGGTTGTTTTATATTGTCACATAGACTTGCCACGTTGTGATTTAATGCTTGATAAATGCAAGTTTATAGATTATATTGTGAAACACTTCTATTAATTTGTAGCCTAGGCCTAAGTTCTTTTCTTCACGGCCGGGCAAACAGTGGCTTGGCAGGTGTGATGTACGTCTGATATTGGTTTAGGCCTATTTCTTATTAGAGTACAATACGTGGCTATATACCGTATACAATGATTATGCAGTATTATAATGTTTAGAGGTAAATTCAATATATAATATACCTTATGAATGATGTTATTAAGTATTTAAAGCTTACATAGTTATATAACATTTACTAATAAATACAATCTATGGTATTGTATAACCTAGCTGATGGATGTTAAATCTTGGTACAGTAATTCCTTTGTGTGAATTTATTATTTTGTGTAATACACTACAACATTACCGTTTTATTATACCATGATTATTCATATGATATAGTTTAATACTATTTAAATCACTGATTTAAATGACGATTTGTTTACAGTATTGTCATACCTGATTGCGGTTGTAATCCTGATGATAAGGACGGTCACTACTAAATAGCGCCCGGTAGCTCCTGGCAGCGCCCGGTAGTCCATGGTGCCGTCCGCTAGCGTCCGGTAGGGTCTCGCATGACGCCCGCTAGCGCCCGGTGCCATAAGTAAAATCAAGCAGCAAAAAAAAGTTATTTGCTTAATAACAGCTAAGGCACTACTCTGATTTGTGAAGAATTTTCCCTCTGTTTTTATGGCATCGCTATAAAATAATATTAGTAAAATTTTCAGTTCAAAATATTCTTTTCATTTTATACAGAGGGCCTACTCTGGTTTGTAGAGAAATTTCCCTCTTTGCTTTATGTTGTCGCTATAAAAAAAAAAAAAATAATAATAATAATCGATCCTTTGTCATCAGGTTGTTTTAGCTCTTTTCTTCCTGTGAAGAATGTATTTCAATTTTTGAATAAAACGTTACACAATAATAATAATAATAATAATAAATAATATTAGAAAAATTTTCAGTTCAAAATATTCTTTTCATTTTACACAGAGGGCCTACTCTGGTTTGTAGAGAAATTTCCCTCTGTGCTTTATGTCGTCGCTATAAATAATAGTAAAATTTTCAGTTCAAAATATTCTTTTCATTTTATACAGAGGGCCTACTCTGGTTTGTAGAGAAATTTCCCTCTGTGCTTTGTCATTGCTATAGGTAACAATCGTTATTAATTAAGTAAATAAGTAAATATTTTGATATTTTCAGATCAATATATTCTTTTCATATTTTTCCCTTTCAGGAACCCAAATGCTGAGGTAGAATTGTATAATCCACAAGATCAACAGCTTGGAATAAAATATTAATAAATTAATACATAATGAGGTTTTTTTTTCTAATATTTTGTAATGTTTCGTTTTAAACATTATTTGATAGAAAAAACTGGAGAACTTAGTGCGAAGCACCACTGAATGCCTTGGCCTGTAGGGGAGGAAATCTCATGATTCTTATGCTTTACATTCCACAATAATACAACACTTTTAATACATTTTTATATTCGACAGCGGATAAGCTAAAGAGGTAAGCTGGCTAACGCGAGGATCTCAGAACAATACAAGACGGAGGAACACACTCACGGAGGAGAGGTTCGACCCAGAATACAATATATAAATGATACATAACAACTTATTCGACTGTACTGATCATTGTTAATCCAGTAAACACCTTTTGTTACCACCTTGCTGCAAGCTGATGAATAGGCTCTATACAACCTACTTGCTCTATTTATATTCCTACTGTAGAGTATACTATAGGCTTATAATAAGAAGTAACCGACATTAGTATTGTTTTAAATCCAGTAAACACATTTTGTTACCACCCTGTTGAGCAAGCCAAATGTGCTGTAATTTTAGAGTGTGAAATACTGCATAAAATTAAGGCAAAATATCATTATTAGGCACCGGAATATTTAAAAGCAAAGTAGTGCATTAAGCCTTATAATAGACTCATTTATTTATCAAATTATGATGAAGAACGACAAAGCTGAAGTCGGTCTTTATTCGAAATAATACGAGTGAATATCCAATATGAAAAAATACTATACTCGTATTGAATATTCAATACAGTATATTTATGTTTAAGTTCATCGGATCGGCCGGGTTGTCCCTCTGCTGAGTGATCGGACTCCCACTGCCTAGAATACTAAATCTCAATGATTAATATTTATCCCGTAATTTACCTAATCGAAATGCTCAACTTTATATGGAGATTATAATTAATTATAAATGTTATTTAGGCCTACTTGAATACAATTGTGGTGCCTCTACAGTACCTCCATTCCGAAAAAAAAGCAACCTTTTTGCCTGGAGGGTGGAATATGACGTTTCCATCGTGATCTTTCAGACGAATTAATTCTTACAGTATGACGGTATTCATGCACTTTACACATATTTTTACACTATAGAGAGTTTTCGCCATACATTCTTTCAAGATCATAATAATGTCTTATTTTGTGAACTTGCATATTCTATTTTTCATTAAATATTTCCTCATACTGTACACGATATTATTTCTTAATGTTGTTTTGGTAGTTCAAATGTCGAGCAACTTGTCGTCTGTACTTCTACGATAGGCTGTAATCAATAAAAAATAATATAGTAATCATGTTCTACTTTTCATTACAAGTTGTAATACATAGTAAAAAGTTATACACCTACTCGAGTGTTTGAATTATTACACTTTATTCACATTCTTTACAGAATTTTTCTCCATGTTACCGTTATAGGCTTATGTTCATATATACTATTTTTGCAATATGTAATTTATTAAGATAGTATAATACATACTCCAAGTATCGAAATGCACGCCATCGTGTCGGGATTTAATATTTCGACATTAATTATGTCATCACCAGGATTTATTAATTATCATTAATACGTAATTATATGTATATAATTGAAGTTCATATACACATATACATGTTATATACAGGGTTCCTGTCGGGCCCGTCCAGTACTCAACATTTCCGACAGCATTTTCAGGCTGCCGACGACCTGGCATCACTATTTTTGCAATTGATATAGTACAAAAACATTATAGGCTAACAAAATGTTCCGTTACACAACTACTGGAATAGGGAGTTGTTGATTATCAACTCACTCTGGCTAGACAATGAACACGCTTGCTACATCAGATAAGACAAAAGATATCAATTAACGTCTCCGTGGTAACGTTAACTTTTAACGCTACTACTATGGACAGGCATAGTATTGTTGCTTTTTATTGAGCAACAAACGATTGAATCGATGGCATGAATCGTGTACATATTTGGGTATATAGAATAGCAGGTTTTATTATATTTTTATGATGTTTACAATTCTTAATGTGATTTCAATCTGTGCTTTTTTCAATAGTTTTTAAAGTAATTTGTAAATATTATTTAAAGCTTACATTTGTTATTCTATGTAACTAAACTATACAATCTACATCAAATGAAAAACACTATAATAGACTATGAAGAAATGTTATTAAACCAACATTATTATTTTTATACGTTCCCATGCAATCATGTTAATGACCAATGAATGCAATGTTGAATGACCACTTTTTTTTTTAACGTTTATTGGATAAATGTAGCGTGGATCTGTCTCTTATACACATCTAGATGTGTATAAGAGACAGTGCTTGGAAATCGCGGAGGACGGGACCCGATACGTGAGATGTTGCGACAGCTGCGAGAGAAGCATCTCGCTGAACCTGTGCAGCGTCCGCCGGCCGAAGAAAAATTTCAAAGGCAACAACGACCGCTGGTACCTCGCTCCCGACTTCGAGGGCTGTCTCTTATACACATCATTCTTAATGTGATTTCAATCTGTGCTTTTTTCAATAGTTTTTAAAGTAATTTGTAAATATTATTTAAAGCTTACATTTGTTATTCTATGTAACTAAACTATACAATCTACATCAAATAAAAACACTATAATAGACTATGAAGAAATGTTATTAAACCAACATTATTATTTTTATATGTTCCCATGCAATCATGTTAATGACCAATGAATGCAATGTTGAATGACCACTTTTTTTTTTAACGTTTATTGGATAAATGTAGCGTGGATAGAGAATTAACGAATTAGAATTAACGTGCAATTTATGGTATGGATTAGAATCCTATGACAAGTATATGAAAAAAGTAATAAAAATTGACAAGATTGCTGTATACAATTTGTGTATATAGGAAGTAACACTCTAATGATTTAGGGGAGAAATTCTGGTATATTTCTTAAGAGGTATTAACATTTAAAGGTTGCATGAATTTTCTTTATATTGGATGAATATTTTGAAACTAATGTGCGATAGGCCTACATTGATATTAATGATACAAAAATAAATAAATAAATGTCCCCTTATTGGGGGTTATACAACTAAATGCTGAAGTTATACTTTTAAAAAAATTTTAAGCCATCAACTTAAATTCAATTACAATAAATCTTAGGTTTCGTATGATTGACATATCTTGACTGACAATATTTTATTGTTTAATGAATGAACGATGAACCGCGTTTGATACTGTAGGTGTTAAAGCGTTATGCAGCTGGATGCTGAAGTGTGCGAAAACAGACAACATACAAAAGATTCAAAGGATATACAGTTAAAACACTGAGTTGCTTTACATGAAAGAACATAGCGCGGTCCGTGAAACGTGTATATATGATGTGATTTTTCATCTAAGTGTATCATTTTTGATCTGCCGTTGATGCTGTTGCATTACCACTGTTTTTGATTACATACCAACGATCGTGTGATAGATATCCGTTTGAATTTGAAAGTGTGTGACTAGTGTTTTGATTACCGTAAGTTTTTAAGTGAGTTTGAATTTGAGTTTGAAAGTGAGTGACTAGTGTGTTTTGATTAGGTTTTAAGTGAGTTTGAATTTGAAAGTGAGTGAGTGACTAGTAATTCCTAATTTTTAGTGAAATTTTACTTTAAGTTCAATTTCTGTAATACAGTATTCTTTAAATTTTACATTAAATTTAATTTCATAATCGTAGTGAAGTTTGACATTAAGTTGGATTTCTTAAATTGGTAAAATTATAATAGAGGAATTGAACATTAAGTTTGATTTCATAATTTTAGTGAAATTTAACATAAGTTTGCTTTCATAATTTTAGTGAAATTTAACATTAAGTTTGATTTCATAATTTTAGTGAAATTGAACATTAAGTCTGATTTCATAATTGTAGTGAAATTTAACTTTGAGTTGATTTCATAAATTTAGTAGAGCCTAATTTTAATTGTGTTGTTGCCTGTTGTTACGCTGTGTGTGTTCTGTTGAGTTTTGTTGAGGTATTTCATCGGATTCATCACATCGAATTTGTTGATTTGTAATTGAAATTATTGTGTTCTTGAACAACTTGCGCCATAGTACTTCGTTGTAATTACAGATCTTCCAATTTATTTTCTATTGTAGATATAGGCGCTATATAATTCCCTGTTGATTGATTGATTGAATTAAAGATTTTTTCCGTGGCCCGTTTCATTTCCTATTGTTGCATATTTAATATTAGGCCTATTATTACAGGTATTATAGAATATTATTAAAAATTAGAATAATTATTAGTACATCATTATAATTTATTTCTAAAATAAGAATTATTTTATAGTTATTATTAATCATTATAATAATATAGAGAAACAAATTAGGTCTACTCTTATTATTATCGTTTTCATTATTATAGGAATTCTATAGAGAAGCAAAGGTTAAACAGTTAAGGATAATTATCCACTCACTCCTGAAGATTACTACTGCATGAAACAACTGTAGAGTAAATTCACGCTTGACATAACCTTTCTATTATTATATATGCATATATATATCTATACTGTATATATATATATATACAAATATTTAACTGATTCACTCTGTATATATATATATATATATTATAGAAATATAAACATCAATTTATTATTACTGTATTATTATTAATATTATTATTATTATTATTATTACTATTATTATTTTACATTCATAGGTTAATCGTCGTGTTAAGTACCCTTGTGGTGCTTGTGGCAAACGTTGCAAGTCTGAAACGGTGTGTTGTGGCAATTGCAACCAATGGCATCATAAAAACTGCGAAGTGTTGTCTGACACGCATTTCTCCACCTTGGAGAAACCTCCTCCAGGATATTTGTGCCGGCAGTGCTGTGTAGAGCCGTTCGACTGCAATGCTTCGTTGAACAGACTTCGTAATGCTGTGAAAGGAGGAAACTTGAAAGATTCTATTGCGTTGGAGCGGATCCGAATGAGGAGTATGGAGTTGCCCATTGAAACTTTGGTTGCACATGGACAATGTAGGCCAGACAGCATGGCAGAGAACATCTTGCTGAAGTTTGAACAGAACCCTAAATATCTTCCTGTGTCTGTGAGCGGAGATGGGAACTGCTTTTTTAACTCACTCTCCGTCGCAATGTATGGAAGCGAATCTAAAGCAACCGAAATAAGATTACTGACAGCACTAGAAATGTTGGAGAACCAGTTGTATTATGAACACATACATGCTGGCTCAAGGATTAGTCATGTGTCGCCCGACTTCGAGATTTCATGCAAGGACTGTCTAAGAGAAGGTGGATTTTCCTCTGCATGGACAATGCATGCGGCTGCATCTGTGCTGGAAAGGCCGATTATATCAATCTACCCACCGCTTAACGGACTTGTTGACAATTGTTTCGTAATTCTAAATAAACACTTTACACCCAGGACATCTTCTACCAAACGGCCAATACGTATAATGTGGACGGTCTTTGGATCATCTGGGTCAACGGGCACATGGACACCAAACCATTTCGTCCCCCTGTTACCGGTCAGGATCGCCGGGCCAGTGACAATCACCATTGAAAGTAGCCCTGAACCAGAGCTTCCAGAACTTGGACGTGCTAAATCAACACCACATCAGGTATGTACGATGAAGTGTAGGCCTATTTAGACTGCACCTACTGATCCCATGCTTAACTATAGGCCAATCAATAACAATATTGGCCTTGTTAAAGATAGTTATGCTGAAGAAATAAAACTATACATTTCATCATGTCTTGATGGCTATTTGTACTAGTACCAGTAGTATCTGATAATCAATAACTGATGCAAATAGAGCACAATAAATGTCTACAATTTTTCCAAAAGTATTGTATTATGTTATCCTACTAACTTTTTTTTCTTAAAATTTCTTTAACATGTGGTTCGTCATACTTAAAAAGTAAAGTAAAAACTAGCTTTCTATTATATCTTGGTTGTTTCCATAAGATTCATTTTTACACTACGGATTTACTTCAAAAGCGGGAAGTAATTTCAACCGATTGTACTTATTCCTTTAGTATTATTATTTCTTTAGTATTATTATTATTTTATTATTATTATTATTATTAATATTGTTATTTAATTATTATGATTTAATTATTATTATTATTTAATTATTATCATTATTAATATTTAATTATTATTAATATTTAATAAAAATGTTGACCCCCATCCCCTAGGTTTTTCCAGATCTGATGATTCATATTCCCATTCATCTTATAAGTGGCCCCCCCCCCACTTTTTTTTTGAAAAACGTTCCGCCGGCCCTGTTATTATTATTTAATTATTGTTGGAGAAGTGATACTTTGTGAAGTACATCGTGCATTAACAACAATTATTATTTAATTATTATTATTATAATTATTATTATTATTATTATTATTTAATTATTATTATTATTATTATTTATTATTCAGAAAACTCGCCGAGTAGAAAAGTCTCCAAATGTTTCTAAGACTTGTGAAGAAAAGGACGACATTTTCTCTTCATTGGAGAATACAAAACTATCACCAATTAACCCAAAGCAATCGAAATATTCATCTACACACAATCAGTTGCCTGAACAAGACTTGTCCCCGTTGAATGAGGTAATTATTTACAGTATGACGTTGATGCTCTTTACCATAAATGCTCGAATAAGCTCTGCGGCGCATATAACATGTTTGAAAGCTTCAGTGCTTCGCTCATTTGCGAGCAGCACTCTCAAAAAAAAAAAAATAAAATCATCAAAGGAAGGTAAATACAGTGTTATAATAAACGACATAATAATACATCGTGTAGCATAGCTCTCAACGAATGTAGTCCTGTAAAAACTCATTTGTCTGTCGTTTGGCTTCTCGTTGATGCTGATTGGCTGATTGTTTTCCATTTATATGATGTAATTATATAATGTATATGATGTAATTTTTTTTTCTTTGCAGCTGTCTAAAGAGTATTCTTCTGTGCAAATGATTAGGGCGATGAATGGGCCTGGTCGATTTATGAACCCAGAAGAAGTTTTGAATACGATGATGGAATTATCTCCCAGTGGTTGCAACGTGCCCGATGGACTTAAGGAAAATGTATATTTCTTGTTGAAAATCAAAGTAATGTGTTACGTCGCCAACAAGGCAAATATGCCATGTACGTCGATGATTGTGGTGCCTTGGCACAAGGTGCGTCGGCAAAGGTTCATACATATGTCATGAAAGGTGAAAACAACTTATATTACGTTGATGTTGTGAATGGACAATATTGTATCTGCAAGAACCGTAAGCGTGTGCCACTTGATCCTCAGCCAAGTGATGATAAAATTTTGGTATTTCGAAAGTACTATGTATCACTGAAAGCAGACAAATCGTTCAAGAAACGGATTTCAACTGTCATCAAATGTCCCGAATCAATACCTACAAATATGAAAAATCTTGCAGTCGTAGAGTATATAGGTGTATACCCTACCGAACCACAACCTCATGGAAATGGAAAGCACACGAACACTGACTATATAAGGACCGCCACAGCCGTTACCGAGAAAGTGAAAAATATGGTGAAAACTCAAACACCTCGGGAAGTTTACCAGGAACTAGTTTTAAATGGATCAAGTACGGCACCCAGAGATTTAAAACAAATACAAAATGCAAAACATTTACAAACCAGAAAATCTCAGCCAGATCAGCAAAGTCGAAAGAACATAGCAGATGATATTATAAATGTGCTAAATGACTTCCACCACAATCCAAGAATTTATTCAAGAAGTTGTTCAAACAAAAGGAAAGCCTCCCTATATAATTATTTATTATGAAGAACAATTAAAGGACATAATTCAATTCTGTTCCTCAAATGCAACACACCCAAGTGTTTTGGGAATTGACAGGACATTTAACCTTGGCGCATGCTATGTTACGACAACAGTCTATCACAACACAAATTTAATGCGAAAAGAGTCGGCAATGCACCCGATCATGTTGGGACCGGTATTTCTTCATTGGGATGGTGTCTTTACGACCTATCACCGGTTTTTATCCCATCTACAATGTAAATTGGAGGACTCAATTGTAGGCTCACAAATGAGTGGAATGAATCTTGTCTTTGGTTCGGATGAAGAGAAGGCCCTAACAAAGGCAGTAAAAAGTGTTTTCCCTTCATTAGATTTAGTTTTATGCATGCAGCACATATCAAAGAATGTGAGTCATCACCTAATTAAGATTGGTGTGGAAATCAGCGAAAGAAGAAAAATAATGGATACGGTATTTGGCGCAACAGGACTTATGGCATGCAAAGAGGAATATGAATATTTAAAAAAAGCCATGGAGTTGCATGAAAAATATGTAAATGAGGTACCAACATTTGCAAATTATTTTAGGAATTTAACAGATAAATTGTTGGAAAATGTTGTCAAATCTCGTAATAAAAACAAATGGATTCCGTTAGATTGGAAGAATAACTCATATGAAAGCTTAAATAATATCCTGAAATTAGCAGTGAATTGGAAAACCCTGAAACTGCCGGACTTAATTAATAGAATTAATAATATTGTTAAATTACAGCTCTGTGATATCCGTAGAGCAATACATGAAACAGGCAATTTTAAACTTGCACCATGGATGGCAAAGTTTGCAGTAAAACATGTAAATTGGGTGAAGAAAAGTGAGGCTGAAAAAGAAAATGTATATCGTAACTTTATGAAAGGTCCCAAAAAACTAAACAGTCACATTTGCTCAACGGACGGTGGACGGTGGAAAAATGCAAAAACTCAAAAAGTACGATTTTAAATATATGCAAATTATTTATAGGAAAAAAAATCGCCGTACTTCTACCGGCGACGACATATAGATTTATGAATTATGTTGTATCAAGTATTTAATAAATGATATTTGCAGAAGAAATTTGACACTTGTTGATTTTTATTTTGGTTTTATACCTAAATACAAGAAAAATTAGTCATTAGCAGCTACAGTACTACCCTGACGAAGGATATCATTGGGGGCTGTCTCTTATACACATCTAGATGTGTATAAGAGACAGATATAGGCCCGTAACCAGGTTCATGGGGAAGGAGGGGGAGTGGCATGACACGCGGAATGGGGGGTTTCCTATAGGCCAATTTGAACTCAAAAGTATTTCTTTAATGAAAAAAGTTATGATAAAATACGACTACGGTAATAAACTGATTAAAAAGAAGTGTTTCTTTAATGAAAGTTATAATACGACTACGTTAAACTGGTGGTCAAAAGGGGGTCCTATACCAAACACTCATCCCCTAGTTACGGACGGGCATGTCGTGTAAAATAAATTATAAACAATATCAATTTCATTTATTAAAAACGTAAAGGAATCGCCTATACAAAGGATGTTCCTTTATTTAAAGGATGTTCCTTCAATTATTAATATTATTCATTAAGCGAAAAGTAAAACTGTAGCCTAGGCCTATATTTAATTTTTTTTTTACATAAATTGTTGGCATAAAATGTGATATTTATATATTATTAACATGTTGCATGAACTTAATTAATTAAGAAACATGACCGGGCGCTACCGGGAGCTATTTAGTAGGACCCGATAAGGATAGCATTTGATGAAAGTTCCGTGTATTGATGCTAGCTTCAGTGTGCAGTTGTATTGCGCCATAATTTATGTAGCTCCTTGACCAATGTTTTATGTATTATTGCTAAGTATATTATTGCATTCTGATTAATATTCACGGTTAATTTCTATTATTTTAACATTAAGTTAGCTTTATAACTTATGCTTTAATTTCTATGATTCTACACTAATGTAGCATATTGTGAATTATGCATAACTTGTGTACTGTAACATGTTTATTATGGATTGTATTAATATGAAGTTACTTTTCATGACTTAAATGTAACTGACTAACTTATGCATGTACTTGATGTTTAGAGTTTAGTCTCTTTACATGATATTATGGTTTCTCAGTGAAGATTTTATTGAAAGTACAGTATTATTATTATTGTTTGAGGTTGTATTGATGATCAGTTTTTAATTTTTAATATTATTATTATTGCATTGTATCTTATATTTTTTACATTTATATTCAGTCACCAGGTCGGTGGGAAGTGACGAAATAAATTAGTCTGACAAACTACAGGAACTCGTCTCGTATCCTACTTTGCGTGTAATAGTTTGGCGCCCTAAGTGTTATCTGGCTAGATACCACTACAATATGGCCGTTTGCTGTTTTATTGTTTTTTCCTATTTGCCTTTCAAATTTTAATCTAAATTCGAATGTACTGTATGTCCTGGTCCCCGACCCTTTTAGGTTCACTTGGATAGGATCATCTTCATAAAATACTTCTATGAATGGATATTTTGTTTGAAGCAAGAAACCAAGTTGTCTTTATCCAGTACCGCTCATTTATTTTATTCGAATGGGAAACTTTTAACATAACTTTCACCACTATATATTTCCATTGTATTGCCATAAAGAATATCTGCCATGGTTTTTGGGAAGAATTTTCATTTTTCTACAGAGGTCAACGACCTTTTGACCTTTAGATACGTCAATTTCTGCACACGTTTTGAATTTGAATGGCTGGAAAATCTACAGGCTACATGTTAATACCAACATCATGCAAATCTATCCAATAAATCATGAGTTATGAACCTAAATGTTAACACCTACCTCAAACATCGCCATTGATTACACAAGTAATCAATAATTACAGTAGTAAATTTAATCAATTTATACATTTTTCTGGTTAATATCATTTTTTATATTCCATATGCTTAATAATAATAGAAAATACTAATTGGTATCAAATCTACTCACAACTGTAGATTTGTAAACGTTTGTGAATGAATTGGGAATAATTTTACAAATTTTCTGTGGAGGTCAATGACCTTTTGATCTCTAGTTGCGTTAATTTCTGACTGTTTCAATACTTCTTAAATTTGAATGACTGACCAATCTATAGGCTAAATGTTGATACCAACATCATACAAATCCATTGAGTAAATCAAGAGTTATGAGCATAAATGTTAACCCTATCCCAAAAACTGTTGTTGATTACAAATTTCTAGGATTATAAACCAATGACAGTAGTACATTTAATCAGTTTATACATTTTCCTTGTTAATATCATTTTTTTATGTGCCATATGCTTATTTATAATAGAAAATACTAATTGGTATCAAATTTACTCAACTGTAGATTTTTAAACGTTTGTGAATGAATTGAGAATAAATTTACTTTTCTGTGGAGGTTAATGACCTTTTGACCTCTGGCTACGTCAATTTCTGCCTGTTTCAAAACTTTTCAGTTTGAAATACTGACCGATCTATAGGCTAAATGTCGATACCAACATCATATAAATCCATTGACTAATCAAGAGTTATGAGCATAAATGATACCCCCTACCCCAAAAACAGTAGTTGATTACAAATTTCTCGGATCATAAACATTGACAATAGTACATAATGCATTTTTTTTTTTTTCTTGTTATACCCTCTCGCTAGGCAAGGCATTCATGTGCAAAGCAGTGGTGTTTGTTTATCCATGTAAAAAGCACGCCGGGAAAGTTTGCTTTCCAAGGAAAAGGTGACGTAATATAGATTATGACGTATGCATGCTAACTATATTGTGAGTGCGACGTCACCAAAAAATAAATATTTTCTTACATAACCAAAATATTAATAACTACAAGGTTTGTAGGCGTAAATTCCCTTAATCCGAATTAAGGGTTGCACAATCTCCTTGCCATAAAAAATTACAACTCCAACTGACGTCTCAGCCGAGAAATACGGTTAGCTGAAGTTTTTTTTTTCGCAAATCTGACTATGAAACCATATCGAAATGTCACGTTCCTCTTCTGACTCTGAGTTGTGCTCATAGAGCTATTAAACCTCTATGGTTGTGCTTCGCACACGCCGCCGAGGGCAAAAATAAGAGTCAGCAGTGCAAAAATCAGAGTCAGCAGTGCAAAATCAGCGTCAGTAGTGCAAAACACAGAGTCAGCAGTGCAAAACCCTAGCAGCAGTACAAAATTAAAGTAGCAGTGCAAAACTCAAAACGCCCTCTCTTTTGAATAAAGTTTCACAGCTTTTTTGGCCGCGTGCTTACGGAAGGTGTCAACTAACTGTATTTGAGAATGGATGAAATGTTGCGATCACTTGGGCGCTCCCAAGTGACTCATTGATAAATTATTATGTCCGCATAAACCTCAGTAATAACATAATAAACTAATTTAATTTTAATTTATTTAAATAAGTAATTTAACAAATATTTTTATTGATAATTTATTTAATCTATTACATATCTTCCCTAATTTATAAACAATTATTAGAATATAATTGATTTAATCATTTTTTCATTAACGATTACATTAACTAATTAATAAATAATTGAATAATAATATAATACAATAATTGATTTAATAAATAATTTTACTGATGTTATTAAATAAAATGACTTATTTAATTTTTGAATAATTTAAATCTGTCTCTTATACACATCTAGATGTGTATAAGAGACAGACTCTACACGCTGCTAGGTCTTCTCATTTCTGTTCTCTTGTTGAAAATTGTAAAGTCAACCAATGACGCCTTTTTAAGATTATTAACAAGCTTCTTGGAAGGACCAAAAATGAAGTCTTGCTCATAGGTTCAACAAGTTTTTTTGCTGAGAAAGTTATTAAACTCAGACAACAGCTCCCCCGGAACCTATCTGATTTGAGGATACCGATATGATCCACACATTTGACAATTTTTCACTTGTCGCGTCGATGTCTCAAAAACTACCTTCAAATACTCTATAATATATTAACTACAAAAATATCTTTATTGTAAAAATAAACTATACAGTCAAAATCCAAATGGTCGACAAAACTAGGTTTTTGGTAATAAAATGGCTGTAAGTGCCCTGTGACCGCCATAATCTTGGTTGTAATACCTATGCTTTCCGATCCTGGAATTCAGTAGACCATATATAAACTACTCAAACGTTTTATGTAGAAAATACAGTATAAATTCAAAATGAAAAATGGCCTCTAAAAAGGGGGGCTCTAGGTTCACCGATTGTCTTTATCTTGGTTATCAACAGCTGTTTTATATTGCATATTCCGATATTGCATATTCCGGTGACACTAAACCTAAGGCCGAGGTGGGTGGTGTGAACTCTCAAGCAAGTGGCCGTTCCAAAACTTTCCACCTATACTTTGTAGAAGAAATTAAACCACCACTGCCACAGGCTAAAGTGTAGCACCACAAACTAAACTAAATGTGACAAATACAGATGGATACAAAATGTTCCTTAATACAAACTCTCATTTGAGTATATTTTATTTGAGGAACTGACACTAAACATGCGAGGCCGAGGTACTGTAGGTGTGAACACATAAGCAAGAAGCCGTCAGCACACAAAGGACTTTGAATCTGGTATGAAGAGATGAATCTGTTATGAGGAGATGCATACTGCCTTCAGTGTTTTGTAAAACTCCTTGTAGCTACTAGTATTTGCATTAAGCTGAGTCTTCGCTGCTAGATTTATTAGTGTGGACCCTAGTGTCATTTCGCGAGATAGGCTTGCCCAAAGCGATTTTATTGCATTTTCTGGATATTTTGAGCATGCTGAATTAAAAAATGCAAGGGTCCATTTTTTCCGAGATTGCCTTGGCGGCCATTTTGGAATTTCAAAATGGCCGCCATTTTCACATTAAAAATAACAATAACTGTGCCATTAGAGCAAATATCAACATCATTTTGGCCCTATTTTGTCAATGTCAACCTGTCCAATGGTGATATTCTCACTGATCATAAATGGCGGCCATCTTGAATTTCAAAATGGCTGCCGTTTTTATAGTAAAAATAACAATAGTTGTGCTATTAGAGCAGGTATAAACTTATTTTGGCAGCAAACCCTGTATTTTCAATGCCAATCTGTCCA